AAACTTGAAGGTGTCAATGAGCAGAAGAGTTTGGGGAGCCCTTAATTAGTTACCCTCCCCTGGAATCAAAACTAATTACCACCAATTTCCCCAGCTGTTTCATAACACCAACAGGTTTAGTGCTTCCCCATGAATATTTACTCTGGACAGCATTACAATTTGTAATAGTAAATGGTTTTGATTTTATTATTGGTTTTAGATTTTATAGCATAATTCCCAACTTTCCAGATTTTGAAAATTTTGGGAGTTTCATTTCAACGGATTTTTTTTTCTGTTTTCTGTTTCCAAAATTTGTAGATCCTAAATTATAACAAAACTTGCATTAGGGGATTCCACATAAAGTGTGTGATTGATAAGCTACACACTTGGTAATTCAGGTTAAGTTCTGTTGGATCTGGCCAGTAACTGTTTGGGTGACCCAATAGATTCACTCATTTTTGGCATAGGGCTCATGACAAGTCAGTTAAAGGCATCATGTTCCTAATAGAGTAAAACCCATCATCAAAGTTTAGGAATGTTGGATCAGGTTAGTACTTGGATGGGTGACTGCCTGCAAACATCAAATGCTATTGGCATTTAAAAATTCAAGGTTTGATCATAGATTGGGCCGTGGGGGCATTGACCCACGGAACACCCAGATCCACCACGAGACCTGGTACTCTGTCCAGGTATAAATTAAACCTCTTGTACACAATTCTAACTTTTTATTATACTACTTTTAAATTATTTCATAAAGAATATTGTGTCCAAATTATGCGTTTTTAGAAATAATATTTACTAATTAGCTTGGAAGCTACCAGTATTCATCAATTAGATATGTAAAGAAATTATTTTATATGAATTTATTTATGAATTTATATATATACATGTACAGTACAGTGGACCCCCGGTTAACGATATGTTCAGGTGCCAGTACTGACCGAATTTATTCCCATAAGGAATATTGTGAAGTAGATTAGTCCATTTCAGACCCCCAAACATACACGTACAAACGCACTTACATAAATACACTTACATAATTGGTCGCATTCGGAGGTAATCGTTATGCGGGGGTCCACTGTATTTAGAAATCGTAGTTCAAGGAAGATACTGGATATACATACCTATATTTTTCTTACTTTGGTATTATGGTTAAAGGAACAATTACGAGGATGAATATAGTTACAGGTTTCATGACTGAGGGTGCTTCTGTGATAACTGCTCAATTTGAGGATTGGGTTAATATAAATGTAAATATGAAAGTAAGCAGCCCACATAGAAAGAAAGGAAGAGTTTTGTTTATTTCATCTTCATCTGAGGTCCTCTTCAGCAGATTGGTGAAGAGGTCCTGAAAATGTACTAGACCTGACTCTCTTATAGCTTGATAGTAATGTGTTCAGCTCTTATCTTAACCAAAAGAACTGGGTTTGGTTTCTTTGTGGGTAATTCTCCTCACACCTACCTCTGTTCATTTAAAACTTTGTAGGTACCTGAGAGCTATTCTACCTCTGTTCATTTAACAGTAGGTATCTGGGAGCTATTTTACCTCAGTTCATTTAACACTGTAGGTACCTGGGGGCTATTCTACCTGTTCATTGAACACTTTGTGGCCCCAATGGTCATAGGCCACATGGCTTGCCTTCCTTCAGTGTAAACTGAAGTCATGTAAGTTCATTTGGCACAGATACATAAGGAGAGTAATTAGTTTGTTCCCAGAATATCTTTCTGTTGCCAGTATTAGCATATAAGTGTTTTCTTTTAGTCATATGGGCAATTTTTTTTTATAAAGGAATTAGAGAAAATCAGTGCTGTTTGATTCTAAGACCTAATTTTTATTTTTATTTCCAGTAAACTTACAGCTCGGTTAATAAATATGGATAACAGTGACAACTCTGGGAGTGAAGACAATGATGGTAATGAAGAGGGTCAAAGTGATAGCGATCAAGAGTTGGAATATGAACCGGGACCAGAGCCAGAGCCTGACCCAGAGCCAGAGCCTGACCCAGAGCCAGAGCCTGACCCAGAACCAGAGCCATATTCAGAACCATACACAGATTTTCAGCACCCACAGGCACAAGCCACCAAACAAAAGGAAAATTACAATCCTAGAAATAATTTCCAGAGTGTTGGTGGTGGGAGGGGGCGAAACAAGAGAGGCAGAGGCAGAGGGGGCAATAATAACAATAACTCTGGTAACTGGAATAAGATAAATAACAGCAGAAGCATCAGTGGTAAGGATCAGAATAGGCAAGACTTAAATAATAGCAAGGTCAGTAGCAACCAGAGCTATACCAACCACAGCCAAGGAAATTATAACAAGAACAATAATTGTTACAACAACACAAGTCAGCATAATTCCAGCAAGAATAACAACAATGGAAACAATAACAACAAAAACATTAAAGGCAACAATAGTAACAATAATCACATCAATTACAACGGTAACAGCAACAATAACAGCAACAACAATAACAGCAACAACAATAACAGCAACAATACCAAAAATAACAATGGTAAAAACAATGACAGGTAAGTTTATATGAATATTTTTATATGTTATGAAAAATAGATAATATAACTGTAGTCAAAGTGTTCTCTCATATGTAAGTATTTACGGATGTATAGCTTGTATTTTCTTGGTAAGTGGAGGGGATGCATTTTGGAGTCCCCATGGGCTTCAGAATACATGTAAAGATAATAGAGCAGGACAGGATGACCAAGAGGGTGTGTAAACCTGATGGAAGGAAGGGCAGGGGTCATTCCAGGAAGGGTTGGAAGAAGAGGTAGAGGTCGTCTCAAATGCTAGGAGTTTGACCATCCAGCAGGCTTTTGTGAGGATGTTAAATTGGATTTAGTGGAGACAGTTGGTGACTGTGTGAATGAAGGTGAAAGTGTTTTATTTTTTGGGTCACCCTGCCTCGGTGGGAGACAGGTGATGTGTTAAAAAAAACTGTTTTTTATGCCTTGTTATTTTCTTGGTGCATGAGCAAGGTAATATTTATGAAGGGATTCAGGGAAACCTATTGGCCAAACTTGAGTGCTGGAGGTAGGAAGTACAATGATTAAATTATTATTATTATAAGACAAAAGCGCTAAACCTATTAGGGTCATACAGTGCTGCAGGGCAGAAATTGATGTAGGATCAGAGGATAAGTAAGGGTGGAGAGGACAAGAAAGGCAAAGTTAGGAAGGGCTCTGAGGAATAAAGGAAGGATTATCAAAGTTTGTGTAATGATTAAAGATCAAAGATTCTTTATTTCAGCATGATACAGTGTTTGTACAGAGATCAGCAACATTCAGGTATGCATGCATAAAACCCCTTCATATGTAGAGCATTTCTAACAAACTTAAGCCAGTCTGGAGTTTACCTGGAGAGAGTTCCGGGGGTCAACGCCCCTGCGGCCCGGTCTGTGACCAGGCCTCCTGGTGGATCAGAGCCTGATCAACCAGGCTGTTACTGCTGGCTGCATGCAAACCAACATACGAGCCACAGCCCGGCTGTCAGGAACCGACTTTAGGTGCTTGTCCAGTGCCAGCTTGAAGACTGCCAGGGGTCTGTTGGTAATCCTCCTTATGTATGCTGGGAGGCAGTTGAACAGTCTTGGGCCCCTGACGCTTATTGTATGGTCTCTTAACATGCTAGTGACACCCCTGCTTTTCATTGGGGGGATGTTGCATCGTCTGCCAAGTCTTGCTTTTGTAATGAGTGATTTTCGTGTGCAAGTTTGGTACTAGTCCCTCTAGGATTTTCCAAGTGTATATAATCATGCATCTCTCCCGCCTGCGTTCCAGGGAATACAGGTTCAGGAACCTCAAGCGCTGCCAGTAATTGAGGTGTTTTATCTCCGTTATGCGCGCCGTGAAGGTTCTCTGTACATTTTCTAGGTCAGCAATTTCACCTGCCTTGAAAGGTGCTGTTAGTGTGCAGCAATATTCCAGCCTAGATAGAACAAGTGACCTGAAGAGTGTCATCATCGGCTTGGCCTCCCTAGTTTTGAAGGTTCTCATTATCCATCCTGTCATTTTTCTAGCAGATGCGATTGATACAATGTTATGGTCCTTGAAGGTGAGATCCTCCGACATGATCACTCCCAGGTCTTTGACGTTGGTGTTTCGCTCTATTTTGTGGCCAGAATTTGTTTTGTACTCTGATGAAGATTTAATTTCCTCGTGTTTACCATATCTGAGTAATTGAAATTTCTCATCGTTGAACTTCATAAGGCAATAACTAATTGATTGCTTATATATATGGTCTCTTTAAGTGGTTGTAACAATAAATTTAGGAATTACAAGGAACACAGGAAAACTGAATAGCATATTAATACATGCTATATGACTTTTATTGAGTTTATATTTTTAGGATTACAGGTGCCTGGACCCTTTAACAATGCAGGTGCGATAGTGCAGTTTGACAGGTTATTTTAACTGATATGTCTACACACTTCTTGCAAGATAGCTGTTGAATGAGTGATGTGACTATGTGTCTTTCAGTCACCCCACCTCAGTGAGAGAGAGCTGGTGTGCTAAAACAAAATCTTATTAACAATGTCCCGAGTTACAGTAACGCGTTAACAACCAATTAATTTTTTAGAACCCCTGATCTGTAGTTATGAATTTGTGAGAAGCAACCATCTTTGATGTCAATGATGGGATCTTGATCGAAGAAATCTGACGCCCCCTCATCTCTTCCTTGGATGACTCCTGATCACCTTCCATTCATAAAATGCTGTTTGACACCTACAAGTTTGGTGCTTTCACACAAATATACAGTATAATGTAAGAAAGTAGATTTGGCATTACAAGAAACGCTCATAACTTGGACATCAGGAATGCAACTCATAAGCTGGGGGACCTCTTCAAGGGGGGGCTCCTTGGTGTGGTGAAGAGGCTCTTGGTCTGAGGAATTAGACCTGTCTGTCTCCTTCCTCAGACCGAACCTAATTACCCCCCAATCCCCCGTTCCCTATCCCATCCTCCCCTTTTTCCTTTCCTCCTCCTCCTCCTCCCCACCCCTCCCTTTTGCCCTTCCTTTTTGGCCTTTGGGTTTTTTTTTTTTTTTTTTTTTTATTACCCCACAGGCACGCTAGTTCCTAGGCAGGGGAAAGGGTACCGGGGTCCATCCCATTCCGTTGAGGTTCTTGGCGGTGGCGTAGTTTGCCGTGGAATCTGGATTGCCTGGGGATGTCCCGATCCCTCTCCGGTATCCTGGAGGGTGGCTTTGGGTGTCTCTCGGGCGACAGGTGTATCTCTGGAAGCCACCTTTTGGATTCCGGGGGTGGTGGCCGAAGGAGGTATGCTTTGTGGCGGATTTCCGGCCGCCCTCTCTTTTGTCCACTGAGGTAGCTCAGCAGATGTGAGGTTGCTATCCCGGATTGCCGGTTCACTGGCATGATGGGTAGGGTATGGCACGGCTTCCATGCTGCATCTGCGCTACTAGCGGTGCTGAGGTCCTCTTGGGCGCGGAGGGAGATTTCTGGCCCTTTCATTCCTCCTAGGAACTATCCTTCCCCGGTCCCCCCTTTTTTTATTTTTTTTTTATTTTTATTTTCTTTTCTTTCTTTTTTTTCTTAAAAACAAAAAGAAAGAATTAACCTAACCATGGCAGCCCTAGTCCATGAACCTGCTCCCACCCGGGCCCCCTTCTTGATACCGCACCCCGTTCTGACCCTCCCTCGTTTTTGGACCACTCTTCGGACACTCCTCATGCCTCTGTACCTCTTCCCGGTTTGCTGTTTCCTCACCCGCTTCAGGTACTGAGGCCTCGACTGACTCCTTCGATTTATCTGACCTTCGCTCTCCTCTGACTATGCTTCCGCCCTCTCCCTCTACGGTGCGGCAATTTTCGAATCGCCGGCCCGTTCCACGCCGGACCAACTCTGGTCCCACGCCTAAAAGCCAACGGCAATTACCTGCTGATGATACTTCTCCACCTTCTCGTTCTTCTCAGAAAAGATCAACACGTCCTTCACTATCTTTCCACGCTCAGCTTCAGACTGCACAATGGGCTAAATTCTTCACTTTACGACTGACTTCCTCTACTGCCTATCTTTCTGACCACAGTATTGACAAGGCACTCCTACGCCATGTTGGTAAAGATATTTCTTTTCATGCTCTTAAGAGCGGTACGCGCATCATCACCGTACAGAATGCTACCCAGGCTCATGAGCTTTCTCGTCTTTCCCATATCGATACTGTTCCTGACAAACATCATTCCCTCAATTCTTGTAGTGATACCGTCATTCTGCCCCATACCATAGTTCAACAAAATTTCCAGACATGTGGCACTGACATTCTTGAACAGCTGGAACTCCAAGATCTCCCAATCCTCAAGGTAGACACTTATGTTCTTCCTGCCCACGGGCGGAGACGATACCCTAGCAATGTGGCTCGTTTAACTTTTGACAGCCGTGACCTCCCATCCTCAGTTTTTGTAGCAGGACATCGGTTACAAGTTCGAAAGGTGATCCCTACACCGCAACAGTGTAGAAATTGCTGGCGATTTGGCCATCCAGCGAAATATTGCAGATCTATCTCCGAATGCCCAGTCTGTGGTGCCGATGACCATTCTAATACGTCTTGCAATCGACCTCCCTCTTGCCTTAATTGTCATGAGGCTCGCCCTTCGTACTCTCGCCGTTGTCAAGTCTACTTAAACGAGCGGGAAATCCGTTACCTCAAAGAGGCAGAAGGTCTCCCTTATGCCATGGCAGTTTCTCATCTCCGCCTCCAGGGGAGACTACCTCATGTTTCTTATTCCCGTGTTTCAAAACATCCCCCCACTTCTGGGATCCCATCTTCTGCAACCACCTCTGTGGTTACCTCTCCTATAGTCACTCCTGTATCTAATTCTTTTGCTGTCCTAGGCTCAGACGTCTCTACTTCAACGCCTCAGCCTGATCTCGCTTCTTAGTGTTCTCCCTCACAAGCCTCAGTAGCAACAAGATTTCGTATGACACCTCCTCCCAATCGTCCCTCTACTTCTCAAAAGTCAAAAAAAGGTCCGTTAACACCTCCTACCCATCTTCCACCTCCTCATTTTACCTTCCCTGTCTCTGTACCTGGTTCTTCCCCTCTCACTGGCTCTGTTACAAGTGTGGAGATTCACCCTCCTCCTCGTACTGTACCTTCCTCCCCTGTTCCCTCCCAAGTTTCTTCCTCTTCTGCCACCTCCCAGGTTTCTGCCTCTTCTGTCCCCTTCCACGCTTCTCCAGTTCCCTCCACCCTTTCGCCCCCCCCCCCCTCACCTTGGTACAGTCCATTACAGTTCCAATCTTTACTCATCCTCCCCCTGCCATTTCCAATATTGTCTCCCATACGACGTCTCTGAATTCCGAAACACTTGAAGCAATCTCTGAATATATTGCAGAGACCAAACCATCAATGGACACTGATCCACCCTCTGTTCCTTCTCTCTCCTCTGCTCCATCTGCGCAACTCCTTTCTTCACAGCGCACAGTTCCTTCGCTGCTTGAACGTTTTCCACTGCCTCCGCATGTGGACTTTTCTAACCCCTCTAGTCCGTAGGAACCCTCACCTGTGGATTTCAGGTATCTTTATCATTGCCAATCATGGCCTATTTACAGTGGAATATACGCGGCCTCAGGGGTAATCGGGGTGAGCTTCAGATGTTACTCTCCCAGTTTTCCCCTGTTGGTGTTTGCTTAGAGGAACCAAAATTACACTCTGCTGTTATCTCTCCCATCTCAGGCTATAATTTATTGTATTCTTCAGATCTTTTCCTGATGGGACCTTTAATGAAAGTGCCCTTCTTCTACGCACTGATATTCCGTACCATCAGCTATTTGTTCGTACTTCTCTGCATTACACAGCAGCCCGTATCCACTTGCATAGGTGGTATACGCTCTGTTCTTTATATCTTTCTCCTTCTCGGGCATTATCTATTCCGGATATTGCCTTTCTTGTTTCGTCATTACCACCACCGATTCTGTTACTTGGTGATTTTAATGCCCACCATTTCCTCTGGGGGGGGTCTCACTGTGATTCCCGTGGCATTCAGTTAGAGGCTTTTCTTGCCACCCACCCCCTCCATGTTTTAAATACAGGTACTCACACCCATTTTGATCCTCGGACTCCTCGTATGTTCGTAATGCCTTTGCGAATAATCACTCAGTTTTTGCCATATTTTTTGACCTTGAGAAGGCATATGACACAACTTGGAGGTATAATATTTTGGCCCAGGCCCATTCCTTAGGCCTCCGAGGCAATCTACCATCCTTCCTTAAGAACTTTTTAACTGACAGACATTTCCGTGTTCGAGTCAATAATGTTCTTTCCCCGGACTTCGTCCAAGCTGAAGGTGTCCCTCAGGGATGTGTTCTAAGCACAACACTTTTTCTCCTTGCTATAAATGATTTGGCCTCTGTTCTTCCACCCAATATTTGGTCATCACTCTATGTTGATGACTTCGCTATTGCTTGTGGAGGCGCTGACTTTCATCTTATTGCAGTTTCTCTCCAGCATGCGGTCGACCGTGTTTCCACTTGGGCCACCACGCATGGGTTTAAATTTTCAAGTACCAAAACTCACCAAATTACTTTCACTAGACGCTCTGTTATCTCCGATCATCCTTTGTATCTCTTTAGCTCCTGTATCCCCGAACGTGATACAGTCAGGTTTCTAATACCTTCTCATACCTTCAGCCATTTCTACTTCAATCTCTTGCTACCCTCTACCCCCGTACTATCCCCTGCCCCACTGTTTTCTGTAACCTACTGATCATCCCTCCTCCCTTCTGCCATCCAATACCCTCGCTTCCTTCCCTACCCTGCAGCGCTGTATAGCCCTTGTGGCTTAGCGCTTCTTTTTGATTATAATAATAATCTGGTCCGTATTTCTCAGGGACTCCATCTATGCCCCTCGTTTCTTTCCTCAAAGTCTGCCAGAGAGTTAACACCCTTGGACTTTTCTTCTCTCAGAGAAGAACAGTATAATGTGCCTTTTACACTTCAAGAACTAGAGGCAACACTCTCAGCTTACCGATCATCGGCAGCTAGGCCCGACGACATTCATATTCGTATGCTACAACATTCACATCAGTCAGCCCTTGCAGTCCTATTATGCCTTTACAATCTTATTTGGTCACAAGGAGTTCTTCCACAGCTGTGGAAATCTGCCATTGTTCTCCCTTTCCGCAAACCAGGCACTACGGGACATGAAGCTTCCCACTATCGTCCCATTGCTCTTACCAGTGCAGTTTGCAAAGTGATGGAACGCCTGGTAAATAGACGTTTAGTGTGGTATTTAGAGACACACAACAGTCTCTCCACTCGTCAATATGGCTTTCATAAGGGATGTTCTACCATAGACCCCTTACTACGCTTGGATACGTATGCTCGTAATGCCTTTGCGAATAACCACTCAGTTATTGCCATATTTTTTGACCTTGAGAAGGCATATGACACAACTTGGAGGTATAATATTTTAGCCCAAGCCCACTCCTTAGGCCTTCGAGGCAATCTACCATCCTTCCTTAAGAACTTTTTAACTGGCAGGCATTTCCGTGTTCTGGTTAATAATGTGCTATCCCCGGACTTTATCCAAGCTGAAGGTGTCCCCCAGGGATGTGTTCTGAGCACAACACTTTTTCTCCTTGCTATTAATGATTTGGCCTCTAGTCTTCCATCAAATATTTGGTCATCACTCTATGTTGATGACTTCGCTATTGCCTGTGCAGGCGCTGACTGTCACCTCATTACAGTTTCTCTCCAGCATGCGGTCGACCGTGTTTCCAATTGGGCCACCACACATGGGTTTAAATTTTCCAGCACTAAAACCCACTAAATTACTTTCACTAGACGCTCTGTCATCTCCGATCATCCTTTGTACCTCTATGGCTCCTGTATCCCTGAACTTGATACAGTCAAGTTTCTGGGCCTCTTCTTTGACCATAGGTTATCCTGAAAACCTCACATTACCTCTCTGAAGGCAACTTGTCACAACCGGCTGAACCTTCTTAAAACCCTTGCTTATCTTTCATGTGGAGCTGATCGTTGAACCCTCCTTCGCCTACATTCAGCCCTCGTTTTATCGAAACTTGATTATAGCGACCAGATCTATTCAGCGGCATCTCCTGCTACTCTCTCTAGCCTTAACCCCATTCATCACCAAGGATTACGTTTATGCCTTGGTGCTTTTCGCTCTTCCCCTGTCGAGAGCCTGTATGCAGAAGCGAACGTTCCATCCTTATCCGATCGCCGTGATGCCCATTGCCTTCGCTACTATGTACGCTCTCATGATCTCCGCAATCCTTCCATTTATAGAATGGTCACTGATATTAGTAGACATTCTTTATTTGTTCGCCGCCCCTGTTTACTCCGTCCCTTTTCTCTTCGCCTTCATTCGCTCTCGTCTTCTCTTCAATTACCACCTTTCTATGTTCATGTAGCATCTCACTTTTCCCTACCCCCTTGGGAAGTTCCAGCTGTTCGAGTCTGCTCTTTCTCTCTCCCTTGCTCGAAAGCCCAACTGTCTACGGTCGCTTCCCGCTCTCTTTTTCTTGACCAATTCCACTCTCATTCTCATGCCATTGCTGTGTACACAGATGGATCTAAGTCTTCTGACGGCGTAGGATTTGCAGCAGTGTTTCCGGACAGCGTCGTACGAGGGCATTTACTGTCTTCGGCTAGCATTTTTACTGTTGAATTGTATGCCATCCTTGCAGCACTTATCCGTATTGCATCTATGCCTGTGTCATCATTTGTGGTTGTCTCAGACTCCCTTAGTGTTTTACAGGCTATACAGAAATTTGATACACCTCACCCCTTAGTCCTCCGTATCCAACTTTGGCTACGCCGCATCTTTACCAAGCATAAAGATATTGTTTTTTGTTGGGTCCCTGGTCATGTTGACGTACAGGGCAATGAACAGGCAGACACTGCTGTGCAGTCAGCAGTACATGACCTACCAGTTTCATATAGAGGTATTCCATTTACGGACTATTTTGCTGCAATATCTTTCCACCTTCTCACCCGTTGGCAACAGCGTTGGTCTGCTATGCTCGGCAACAAACTTCAATCTATTAAACCGAGTACATGTATATGTTACTGGCCGTCTTCTTATCACCAGTGTCGAGGTTGGGAGACTACTCTCTCTCGTCTTCGCATTGGCCATACTCGTCTTTCTCATGGATATCTCATGGAGAGGCACCCTGCTCCTCTCTGTGAGAATTGCCAAGCTCCATTATCAGTCAGCCACATTCTGTTGGACTGCCCACTTTATCAACAAGCACGCAGAATTTACCTCCGTCGTCGTCTTCGCTCCGCTGCTCTCTCTTTACCTTCCCTTCTCGCTGATGGACCCACCTTTCATCCGGACTCTCTCATTGACTTTTTGACAACAACTGACTTACTTCACAAATTGTGATACCTTCAGCCCTTTCTACTTCAATCTCTTGCTACCCTCTACCCCCGCACTATCCCCTGCCCCGCTGTTTTCTGTAACCTACTGATCATCCCTCCTCCCTTCTGCCATCCAATACCCTCGCTTCCTTCCCTACCCTGCAGTGCTGTATACCCCTTGTGGCTTAGTGCTTCTTTTTGATTATAATAGTAAGCTGGGGTATCTTTATAATAAACAAGCATTTTATGGCCTAATTATACCAGTGGTATATTCTCTTATCTTTACCATGGCATCCATGTCCTCGTACTCTTATCTGACACTCTAAGATCCTGCTTCCTGAAGAAGAAAAAATTATCTGGTTATATTTCAATTCATTGCTCCTTTTTTTGCATTCTCAAAAGAGCATTCACAAGAAAAAGTCATCTTGCATACTGTTTTCAATGTTGTATTGTGCCAATATATGTTAAGTTGGCCCATAATGCCTAGGCATAATAGAGGCTCTATTTGCATTGCAACCCACTATTGTAAATACAAAATCTCAATGTACTATATGCAAAGAAATAAAATAAATAATGATTTAGTGTTTTTTGTAGGAAGGATAACACCCCAAAGAAATTTGACTACTTCAACCAGGTGAAAAGCATCATATCACAATTCAACAAGCATAAAAATCACTCAGCAATAGACAGTCCTCTGCTCAGGATTCACTATCGTATGGGAGTTTGCCTCTTCCTGATTGCCTACAACATTGTTCAGTAAGTTTCTGAGAATTGCTAATATAATTTTCTTTCCAGTGGAGATTAAATTTGTGTTAAACATTTTGTAAGGTAGCTTTAGTAAATGAAATTCAAACAGATTTAGTATACACACCAATAGTCTTGGAAATACATATAAAAATGTGGTAAAAGTAATTTATATTAAAGAGAGGTAGATGATATTTATAGTGCATTAATAGATGCAGTTTTATTGTATATCATTTAAAGGATACAGTTCCCTTGCAGTGTTAAACATTTAGCTGGACTTGAGTCCTGGAGGTGGGAAGTACAGTGCTTCCATTCTGTAGGACGGTTTGGGATATTTGTTGTTTGGAGGGACATCTGAACTGTTGTATCTGCTTGCCTCTGACAAGACAGTGAGAGTGTGAATAATGAAAGTGTATCTTTTTCGGGGTCACCTTGCCTCGGTGGGAGACGGCCAGCATCTTATAAAAAAAATGCATTCTACCTGTGCTCATAGAGTGTGAGCTGCTGTGCCTGGGTCTTGCTTCCTGATCACTAATTCATTGGTGTCATCCTCCCAAATATGTAACCACTTGTATGTGTATGAGTACGTATATATAAAGTACTGTATACATATATGATTATAGATAAAGGTTGGAGGGAGGGGTAAAGGAGGTTTTATGGGCAAGGGGTTTCGACTTAGTGTGAGCATGTTAGATAGGAGTGAATGAAGATGAATGGTTTTTGGGACCTGACAAGCTGTTGAAGTGTGAACAGGGTAATATTTTGTGAAGGGATTCAGGGAAACTGGTTAGCCAGACTTGAGTCCTGGAAATGGGAAGTACAATGCCTGCACTTTAACCCCTTGACTGTCGCAACCCCAAATCCTGAGTTGTTTCCTGGTGTCGCAAAATTTCCAAAGAAAAAAGAATATTTTTTATGAAATGATAGAGAATCTTTTCCCGATTGTAATGACACCAAAAGAACGAAATTTGATGGAAAACTGACAGAATTACACTCTTGTGAAGTTAGCAAGCTCGGCGATATTTACGAATCTGCGATTTCGCCCACTTTGAGTTGAGCCCTATTTTCGGTTAATTCCATTGTTCCAGTCGACCAAACTCATAGCTATTTCTTTAGAACTCCATTTTTTTCTATCGCTTGAGTACAAGAAACTGCTCATTTACCCATTTCAGCTACCCAGTAACGTGGTCAGAAATTTGCAATTTGGCCAGTTTCATGAAAATTAAAAAAATGACAGTTTCAAAATAGGGTCCAGAATGAACAATGCAGACATTCCTGGCTCTAAAATAACATTTTCTTTGTTCATCAGTCACATCTCCAGGCCCCTCTGATATTACTCTTGCTTTCTATTCTGAATTTTTATTCAAACAAAAAATAAAAGATTTACTGTTATGCAGACTACTTCAATATTGTAATAATTGTATAAATAATGTCAACCCATTCATGACTGCATATTAAAATGGCTACTTGGACATTTATTGGAAAATGACATCATTTGTTTACTTTTGAACATCGGCAAAAATCAAACATTTTCACTTCTTTGAGCTCCATTTCAAGGTTCTTTTCATAGTAAAACCAATCAAAATCACATCTATTTCTATAATATGTTTTCCATTCTATCAAATGAGACCAAGAAAACGAGTATACAACCATAAATACTATATGAAAATAGACCACAAAGTCGGCATTTTAATTGAAAAAAATGGTCGTTTTTTTTTTCTCATGCACTGCGTGCTGCAGGTTTTTTTTATATTGTGCACACTGACCATACAGACCCATTCTCTCACATGTGGGCTTACCAGCTTTCTGCTTGATTTGAAGTTGCTAGAATTTATGAGTATATATACGTCAAAAACGGTGGCTTGTAAGGCATATATATACAACCAAAACAGTTAAAGGAGGGGGTTGGGATATTGGCAGTTTGGAAGGACATCTGAACTGTCGTATCTGAGCACCTCTGCAAAGACAGTGATTATGTATGAGCAATTGTGAAAGTGTTAAATGATGATGAAAGTTTTTTCTTTGTTTTTTTTTTTTCTTTTTTGGCTACCCTGCCTTGGTGGAAGATGGCCAATGTGTTAAAAAAAAAAAATTGGTGCAGATGTACAGTATGTACATACAGTGGAACCTCAAATATCGAACTTAATCCGTTCCAGGAGGTAGTTCTAAATTCGAAAAGTCTGAAAAGTGAAGCAATATTTCCCATAAGAAATAATGGAAATACAATTAATCCATTCCAGAAACCCAAAAATATTCACAAAAACATACATTTTATAGAGATTAATTACAGTTTTATATACACACAACAAATACTATAGTGTTCAATTATGTATATAAATATAAAATAACATTTTTACTTGCCTTTATTGAAGATTGGTGATGGCATCTGGAAGATAGGGAGGAGGAGAGGGAGTTGGGGTTAGTGTTTGGAAGGAGAATCCCCCTCCATGAGGACTTCGGGTAAAGCCCTCTCTGGGGTTACTTCCCTTCTGTCTTTTAATGCCACTAGGACCAGCTTGAGAGTCACTGGACCCCTGTCTCACAAAATAACTGCCCACAGTCCTCTATTTCTGGCACCTCTTTAACATTTCCCTAAAATGGGACATGGTTTTGTCACTGAACTTGTTGCAAAGATGGCTTGTTTGAGCTTGCTCAGGGTGGTACTTCTGCACAAACATTTGGACATCATTCCACTTGGCACAAATCTCCTTAATCTTTGAAGAAGGCACCTCATCCACTCCCTTTTCCTCCTCCTCTGAACCAAGGTCCTCAGCTGTAGTCTGATACTGCTCCAGGTGAAGCTCTTGGTTAGCTCTTCCCTGTGGTCCTCCACCAACTCTTCCACATCCTCGCCACTCGCCTCCAGCCCCAGGGTGTTCCCCAATGCCACAATAGAGTCCACAACAGGCAGAGGGTCAGCTGGGTCAGGGTCAAGGTCAGGGTCAGCCTCAAACCCTTCAAAATCCCTCTTTTGGACACAATCTGGCCACAATTGTCTCCAAGTGGAGTTTGAAGTCCTGGAAGGCACTCCCTCCCAAGCCTTACCTATGAGGCTTATGGAGCTGTAGATATTGAAGTGATTCCTCCAGGACTTGCTTAGTGTCAACTTGGTGTCTGTGGTCACTTCAAAGGACTTTTCAAACACTGCTTTTGTGTAGAGTTTTTTGAACTTAGAAATGACCTGCTGGTGAATGGGCTGGAGGAGAGGAGTGGTGTTAGGAGGCAAGAACTTCACTGTTATAAAACTGAAGTCCCTAGACAAGAGGTCAAATAAGTTTGGAGGATGAGCAGGAGCATTGTCCATTAACAGGAGGCACGTGAGTGGCAAATTATTGTCTAGGTGGTATTTTCTCACTTGGGGCCAAACACTTCATGGATCCACTCTTTGAAAATTTGCCTTGTTACCCATGCCTTATTATTTGCTTTCCACAAGACACATAACTTGTTCTTTACGACATTGTTTTTCTTAAATACACTGGGATTTTCTGAATGATACACAAGTAAAGGCTTCACTTTAACCCTTAAACGGTCCAAAGAGATCGACGTTCAAATTCGTAGTGCTACAAAAGTAGATCTACTTTTTTTTACATATTTTCAAATATAACAAAAAAAATGTAGATAAAAGTTTTTTTACACGTTTTCAAATGTAAAACAAAAAAGATCTATATTTTTTTTACATTCAGATGTTGAAAAAACGTATATATACGTTTGGACCATTTAAGGGTTAAAATTACCACTAGCATTAGCACAGAATAGCCTGTCTTTCATAGGCTTGTGTCCTGGGAGTGCCTTTTCCTCCTGAGTAATGTAGGTCCTCTTTGGCATTTTTTTCAAAAACAGGCTGTTTCGTCACAAATGAACACCTGTTGGGGTTGGAATTTTTCAGTGTATGTACCCCTTAAACTCCTTCACAAACTTCTCAGCCACCCGCTTGTCTGAACTGGCATACACAATGTTGCCTTACAACATTGTGTATGCCACTACGCTTCTTAAATCTGTCAAACCAGCCTCTTCTGGCCTTAAATTCACTATCAGCACTGGTTTCAGTAGTTTTCTGTATCAGATCGGCATACAACTTCCTTGCCTTTTTGCAGATAATGGTCTCTGAAACACTATCACCTGAAATCTCTTTATCCTTGATCCACACCAGCAACAACTTCTTAACCTGATCGATTGTCTGTGGTCTTTTTTTGGTTAGCATATTAACACCTTTTGCAACATCAGCTTCCTTGATTTGTTCTTTCTTTGCCAGAATAGAACCGATGGTCGACTTGTTTTTCCCATACATCCTGGCAAGCTCAACAAGTCTCGCACCACTCTCATACTTCTGTATTATTTCCTTCTTCACATCTATGGTGTTTCTTAGTTTCTTTACCACAGGGGTACCACTAGCAAGTTTCTTTGGACCCATGGTAGCTTATTTCACAGTCCCATAAGCACTAAACACAATGAAATAATCATAAAATGTTTGAATGAGAGCACAGGTTAGTGTTCACTCAAGCATCAACAAAACCAGACTGGCTCACGGCGCCTGTGCAGGGACGCAGACAGAGCGGGCTGCCGAACAGGTCCAGTACTCGGCGGTTTGAAAATAGGGGTAAGTCCAGTAATGGGGACAAAGCTGGTTCGAAAAAAGCGTTCGATTTTCGAAGAGTTCGATAAGTGATATGTTTGAAATTTGAGGTTCCACTGTATTATAAAGTTTCCAGTGATTGTAAAGTAATTTTAATCACTTTGAGATACACAGCATAGATATGAATAAATTATAGTTTATCTGTCATCTAAGGCCCATAGTATGCACAGTATTTTGGCAGTAACTTATAACTGTAAAATTTGAAGTTATCAATGGAGTGTAATAGAAAATTTGGTACACTGAACTTTAAATAATACAGTATAGTTTTGACACTAAGACCAGAAATATTCTTTTAATGCTAATAAAAAATCTTTTTATGAATGAATTGTCTTTTTAATAATTAAATGGTTATTTCATGTAACTAAGTATATTTTTATTTTTTTATCAGGAGCAATTGGTTTTTAGGAGAAAGTATCTATTGTGTATATGGTAATAATGCTGAACATGTCAGCAGCTTTGCAGTCAGGAACTACTGTCTGTCTTACTCCTACATCTGTGAGGTATGTGGCTCTCTCTGGACAAAATCCTGACATCACTTCATTACCAGGTTTTCTAATGCTGTAAAGAGGTACGAAGATTATTATTTTTGTTCTAAAGAGGTACAAAGATTATTATTTGTTTGCCTGAAATGTTCTGCATATGAAGGAGCTTTTGGCATGTATGCCCAAATATCATACCCCTTTGTACAAACATAGTATCATGCTGAAATAAAATTATTGTTATTAATTTTGTTCTATAGAGGTACAAAGATTATTATTTTCACAAGACAATGCTGAATCATTGGATCATTCACTGCCAAATGGTAAAAATGCTTATATTGTGGGGTAGAGGAATACAGTGTAATACAATTATATTTCTTTTCTGCAGTATGCAAGGTGTAGTTTACATGTAATAAAATACAGCCTCTCCTCACATAGCAACGTAGTACTTGTTTACTGACAACTTGGACTTACGATGGACTCTCTGAGCAGTATACATACCTAAATAATGTATATTAGAGCTGATTTCCTCTATTCTGTTTATTATAATATACAGTACACTACTATATAAATATTTAAAAATACAGTGGGCCCCCGCTTAACGATCACCTCCAAATGCGACCAATTATGTAAGTGTATTTATGTAAGTGCATTTGTACGTGTATGTTTGGGGGTCTGAAATGGACTAATCTACTTCACAATATTCCTTATGGGAAAAAATTCGGTCAGTACTGGCACCTGAACATACTACTGGAATGAAAAAAGTTCGTTAACCGGGGGTCCACTGTATACTAAAAATGTTATGAATGGTCAAGACGTGACATTAAAACACCACAAAAGATGGTTGATACAAACCCACTACCATTATGGTATGCTCCTTGCTTAGCGATGAATTCATTTACCGACGTGGTCTTAGGAACGGAACTGTCATTGAGGAGAGACTGTAGTAATAAAATACTGTTAAACACACAAGAATGCCACAAGCATGCATCTGCAACATTTAACAAGATTAGAGCAATAACTAATTATTGTAGTGTTTGAAAGACATTGTTAGTCATGGAGTTAGGCGAAATGAAATTTTATACATTATTTTATTCAGCATGCTTAACACAAATTTTTTACACAATTTTAGTTATACTTTTTATATCCTATGTAAATGCTGCAGCGAGGAAGAGGCTGGAAGCAGTGGATATTTCGTGTCTAAGGGCAATGTGTAGTGTAAATATTATGTAGAGAATTCATAATGTGGAAATTTGGAGGTGTGGAGTTACTAAAAGTATTGGTCATTTAGAGAGGATGGAGCAAAATAGGAAGACTTGGAGGGTGTATAAACTTAGTGGAAGTAAAAAAAAAAGTTTTGTATGCAAGGGGCTTGGTCATACAGCAGGCATGTGTGAGTGTGTTAGATTAGAGTGAATGGAGATAAATGGTTTTTAGGACCTGATGAGCTGTTGGAGGGTGAGCAGGGTAATATTTTGTGAAGGGATTCAGGGAAACCAGTTAGCTGGACTTGAGTCCAGGAGGTGGGAAGTACAGTGCCTGCACTTTAGAGGAGGGATTTGGAATATTGGCTGTTAGGACTGACATCTGAACTGTTGTATCTGGGCACCTTTGCAAAGACAGTAATTATGTGTGAATGATGATGAAAGTGTTGAATGATGGTGAAAATGTTTCATTTTTTGGGTCTCACTACCTTGGCGGGAGATAGCGGACATGTTGACAAAAAAGTTTATTTTTATTGACACTTAGTCCTTGTAGTATGTAGCTTAATCATTTATTACAAGATACATACCCATTTGAATTTTGTTAGTTGCTTTATCACATTAGTATTACCTGGTGAGCACTCGGGTAGAAATGGTGTCATTTATCTGTGTATGTACATTTACTTTATATATGTAACTTTAGTTTTACCTCTGAAGTATGTAGTTCATGTAAATAAAAAAAAAATTAAAGAAATAAGTCACTTTAACTTTTTTTTTTTTAATGAATAATATCTTTATTTCTTTAAGTACAAGGTATACAGGCCTAGCTGACATCAGTAACATACTACTATATAGAAAGCCGCTTATTATGAAGAGCATTTCAGGCAAATTAGGTAAATTTGGTCCTAACATGCGACCCACACTGATCGACTAACACCCAGGTACCCATTTTATACTGATGGGTGAACAGGGACAGCAGGTGTCTTATGGAAATACATCCTAATGTTATAATAGCTCCTAATGACTGGATTAAATTTTCTTTTTATTTAGTGCCCCTTGTGTACCACCCACTTCATACTCTTCATATGAGTGTCTTATTTATTGTTACAATCACTTAGAGACAGAGACCATATGAACAATCAATTAGTTATTGCCTTATTTGTTTTAAGACAGGCTTAAGTTTGCAGGGGGAAATGCTCTGCATACTAAGGGGCTTTCTACATGCACTCCTGAATGTTACTCACCTCTCTACACACATTGTAACATGCTGAAATAAAGCATCTTTAATCTTGTTTCTCAGATTGATGAGGTTACCACAACTGCTGGAAAAGACACCTGTTCTCGTCGATACATCTTATTTTATCGCTGGTTACACCATGCTTTTTTACTTATTGCTGGCATTTATTACATTCCACGAATGATTGCCAAGAGAGCAGAAAATCCACGCTTAAAGAAACTCCTAGCTGATCTGGCTCTAGGACAGAACAGGTGAGATAAAATGAAGAGACTTTTGTAGTTTTTGTTGAAGACTAACACATTTTGTTTTTGGGTCATCTAATGTACAGTTGTAATTAATATGATTTCCCATGATAGTGTACAGGATTTTCATTGAATTGGATTTTTCTCATTAATAGTTTCTATATGAATACCTACTGTACACAGTGTTTTAGGGCTGCACCAAAGGAACCATCATATTAGCATTATGGGGTCTGTTTAATACAAGAGTTGTACATTTTGTATTAAAACTTGTACACTTCTAATGGACACATAAGTACAGTAAATGTCTTTAGGTTAATAAGGCAGCAGTGTTGCAGATGTATAGATTAGATGGTAGGTTACTAAAAACAGTAGAGAATTCTTATCCAGAAAATGAGTATCAACTTGTGTAGGAGAGACGGGGACTTTCTCAGTGAAAGTAGGACTTAGGGAAGCATGATGTCACCTTTATCATATTTATAGATGATGTAAAAGAAGAAAATGCTAGGGTGTTGGGGAGAGGTGTGGGATTAAAAGAATTGGATACAAAATGAGTTGGCCTAGTGCTTGTGAAAGAAAATAAGTTGCAAATGTTGGTGGAAAGATTTAGAAGGTTATGTAAAAGAGGAAATTAAGAGTGAGTGTAGAAAAGAGCAAGTAGATGAGTCTGGGCACAATGAAAGATTGGATATCAGATTGGGAGGAGTGAGTATGGAGAAGGTGGATGTATTTGGATAATTTTTAATGGACATGTAAACAGGTGAGCCTATGAAAGATAAGATGAAGCATAAAATAGATGAGGGGGAAGAAGGTAGGTGGTGTGTTGAGATGCCCATGGAAAGAAAAGCTTATGGAGAAAAAATTGATATTGAAATGTTTATTTCTCTGGAAAGATTACATTGTATGGTTTACATATTATAGAATATTAATTACTAAGAAGGCCCTTAGCAGGCCTAGGCATTTCTGGCAGACTAATACTAATTCTTAATTGATATTGACATGGGTTATGGAGCATGCTGATATTAAAGTTAGGTAACTGTGGTGATTAAATAGATTTACAATAGTTTACCTGGAGAGAGCTCCGGGGTTCAATGCCCCAGCAGCCCGGTCTGTGACCAGGCCTCGTGGTGCTTGTCCAGTACCTGCTTGAAGACAGCCAGGGGTCTCTTGATAATTCCCCTTATGTATGCTGGGAGGCAGTTGAACAGTCTTGGGCCCCTGACACTTATTGTGTTGTCTCTTAACTTGCTAGTGACACCCCTGTTTCGTTGGGGGGATGTTGCATCGTCTGCCGAGTCTTTTGCTTATGTAGAGAGTGATTTTCGTGTGCAAGTTTGGTACTAGTCCCTCTAGGATTTTCCAGGTGTATATAATTATGTATCTCTCCTGCCTGTGTTCCAGGGAGTACAGGTTCAGGAGCTTCAAGCGCTCCCAGTAATTGAGGTGTTTTATCTCCGTTATGCGTGCCGTGAAGGTTCTCTACATTTTCTAGGTCAACAATTTCACCTGCCTTGAAAGGTGCTGTTAAATGTGCAGCAATATTCCAGCTTAGATAGAACAAACAACCTGAAGAGTGTCATCATGGGCTTGGCATCCCTAGTTTTGAAGGTTCTCATTATCCATCCTGTCATTTTTGTAGCAGATGTGATTGTTACAATGTTATGGTCCTTGAAGGTGAGATCCTCTGACTGATCACTCCCAGGTAGTTTAGAACATTTAAGAATATAACAGTTTGTAAATTTAGTAATGAGAATAGTTTTGTCTTGGCATGATTCACAGTTTCTATTAAAGCACCTATATTGGAGTATCTCAGGCAAACTTAGGAGTACGTATAGGGATACCAACTTTTCATATGGATGAGTCATGGACTTTGGACTTGTCATGTAAGTTAGCAGCAGTAGAGAAATGTTTGAGAGCAATGTGTGGTGTAAATATTATGCAGAGAATTCAGAGCATAGACATTAGAAGACATGGAGTCATCAAGGATATAATTCACAGGGGCTGAGGAATGGGTGTTGAGGTTTGCTCATTTAGAGAGGATGGAGAACAACAGGATGATAAGGGTGTATAAATCTGTTGAGTGGAAGGAAGAGGGTATAGGTGTTCTAGGAATGGTTAGGAGGAGATGGTAAATTAAGTTTGAAGTGCCATTAAATCAAACTTGAGTGGAGGCAGGTGGTTTCTGTGACTGCTGATAGAATGTGAGCAAGATAACATTTATGAAGGGAATGGGGAAATTGCTTAGCCAGGTGGTGAGTACATTGCCTGTTCTGAGGGGTAAGGATATTGCAGTTAAGATGGTGATCAGAACTGTGATGTCAGCACTTCTGGCAAGACACCAATTATGATTGACAGTAAATGAGTTTCCTCTTTTCTTTTCTTTTTTTTTTAGCCACCCTACTTGGTGGGAAGTGGTCGATATGTTAAAAAAGAAATTTGCCTATTATTAGTGACATCTTTGTTTTAGGTATGATGAAGCTACCTGGGAACATGACACACAGATGATGCTGAGCTATATGCATAACCACAAGTCAACACACAACCAATTGTACTTCTGGCTTGTAATTTCCCATGTGGTTGCATTATCTATTGATGTTTGGGTGATGTTCTTCTTGGACTTTTTTCTTAATGTAAGTACTACCAAAGTGAAGTGTTCATTTGTCTCCTCATTGCAAATTTTGATTGTTCTCTACAGAATTTTTAAAATTATGATGCCAAGTAGAAATTAGCTTTGTGTATCCTTAATTATCTCCTGCTTTAATTCTGCACCTTCCAAACACTTATTTAATTAACTAAACATTTAAATTTTATAATTTTGTAAGTGTATAGAAAGTGGAAGCATTAAATGAAGCAATGAAAGTTTTCTGGAATACGTATTTAAATTGGACCCAGCATACCTTAACCCTTTAACTGTCAAACTGTTGAGCTATGTTTTATTGCTAGTGATCATGACATCGATCAACTTACTGTTTATCCTGCTTTCAAATTTGGCACCAGAGGCCTGATAGGCCTAGACAATATGTAATGGGTATTAACACTCATTGTGCACAGTATTAAAAAATCTGGGACCACTTAATACCTTGTGGGAGTACCAGTTCAATTGAGTGCCAGCTAGGGCAAACAGCATGACAAACCTGGTATACCTAGAGAGGTCTGTGACCTGGTCTATGACCTGGTCACAGACCGGGTCAGTGCCCCATGACCCGGTCTGTGACCAGGCCTCATGATGGATCAGGGCCTGATCAACCAGTCTGTTACTGTTGGCCGCACGCAACCCGACATACGAACTGCAGCCCAGCTGGTCAGGTACTGACTTTAGGTGCCTGTCCAGTGCCTTCTTGAAGACAGCCAGGGGTCTATTGGTAATCCCCGTTATGTATGGTGGGAGGCAGTTGAACAGTCTTGGGCCCCTGACACTTGTGTTGTCTTATCATGCTAGTGGCACCCCTGCTTTTCATTGGGGGGATGTTGCATCGTCTGCCAAGTCTTTTGCTTTCAGGGCAATAATAAACTATGCATGATTGGAGTAACTAGTGACGTGGTTCTCAGACAAATAGAGAAATTAAAACCTAACAAATCCCCAGGTTCTGATGAATTGTTTGCATGAGTTTTAAAGGAGTGTAAAGAGGAACTTAGGGAACGTTTGGCTAATCTTTTCAACATATCGCTACAAACTGACAGTGCCAGATAAGTGGAAAATGGCAAATGTAATACCTATTTACAAGGCAGGTGACAGGTCCTTAGCTTCGAACTATAGACCGATAAACCTTACCTCCATAGTGGGAAAATTTATGGAATCAATAATTGCCGAGGCAATTCATAGCCATCTTGAAAGGCATAAATTGATTAATGAATCTCAACTCGGTTTTACAAAAGGGCGTTCCTGTCTTAAAAATTTACTAACTTTTTTCACTAAGGTATTTGAGGTAGATCATGGTATTGAATATGATATTGTGTATGTGGACTTCAGTATTTAGATTTAGATTTAGATTTAACCACTGAAGTGGCTAGTTTATTGTGCACCCCATATCCATCCTGTGGACAGTAGTGCAAGAGTATATGGATACACAAAAGGCCTAGGAACTAGGCCCCAAAAGGGTTAACAGGTAGAAGTGATGCAAGGAGGGAAGAGTATATGGAGAAAAAGAGAGAGGTTAAGAGAGTGGTGAAGCAATGTAAAAAGAGAGCAAATGAGAGAGTGGGTGAGATGTTATCAACAAATTTTGTTGAAAATAAGAAAAAGGTTTGGAGTGAGATTAACAAGTTAAGGAAGCCTAGAGAACAAATGGATTTGTCAGTTAAAAATAGGAGAGGAGAGTTATTAAATGGAGAGTTAGAGGTATTGGGAAGATGGAGGGAATATTTTGAGGAATTGTTAAATGTTGATGAAGATAGGGAAGCTGTGATTTCGTGTATAGGGCAAGAGGAATAACATCTTGTAGGAGTGAGGAAGAGCCAGTTGTGAGTGTGGGGGAAGTTCGTGAGGCAGTAGGTAAAATGAAAGGGGATAAGGCAGCCGGGATTGATGGGATAAAGATAGAAATGTTAAAAGCAGGTGGGGATATAGTTTTGGAGTGGTTGGTGCAATTATTTAATAAATGTATGGAAGAGGGTAAGGTACCTAGGGATTGGCAGAGAGCATGCATAGTTCCTTTGTATAAAGGCAAAGGGGATAAAAGAGAGTGCAAAAATTATAGGGGGATAAGTCTGTTGAGTGTACCTGGTAAAGTGTATGGTAGAGTTATAATTGAAAGAATTAAGAGTAAGACGGAGAATAGGATAGCAGATGAACAAGGAGGCTTTAGGAAAGGTAGGGAGTGTGTGGACCAGGTGTTTACAGTGAAACATATAAGTGAACAGTATTTAGATAAGGGTAAAGAGGTCTTTGTGGCATTTATGGATTTGGAAAAGGCATATGACAGGGTGGATAGGGGGGCAATGTGGCAGATGTTGCAGGTGTATGGTGTAGGAGGTAGGTTACTGAAAGCAGTGAAGACTTTTTACGAGGATACTGAGGCTCAAGTTAGAGTATGTAGGAAAGCGGGAAATTATTTCCCAGTAAAAGTAGGCCTTAGACAAGGATGTGTGATGTCACCGTGGTTGTTTAATATATTTATAGATGGGGTTGTAAGAGAAGTAAATGCGAGGGTCTTGGCAATAGGCGTGGAGTTAAAAGATAAAGAATCAAACATCGTGGGAGTTGCCACAGTTGCTCTTTGCTGATGACACTGTGGTCTTGGGAGATTCTGAAAAGAAGTTGCAGAGATTGGTGGATGAATTTGGTAGGGTGTGCAAAAGAAGAAAATAAAAAGTGAATACAGGAAAGAGGAAAGTTATGAGGATAACAAAAAGATTAGGTGATGAAAGATTGGATATCAGATTGGAAGGAGAGAGTATGGAGGAGGTGAATGTATTCAGATATTTGGGAGTGGACGTGTCAGCGGATGGGTCTATGAAAGATGAGGTGAATCATAGAATTGATGAGGGGAAAAGGGTGAGTGGTGCACTTAGGAGTTTGTGGAGACAAAGAACTTTGTCCTTGGAGGCAAAGAGGGGAATGTATGAGAGTATAGTTTTACCAACGCATGGGTGATGAATGTTGCAGTGAGGAGAAGGCTGGAGGCAGTGGAGATGTCATGTCTGAGGGCAATGTGTGGTGTGAATATAATGCAGAGAATTCGTAGTTTGGAAGTTAGGAGGAGGTGCGGGATTACCAAAACTGTTGTCCAGAGGGCTGAGGAAGGGTTGTTGAGGTGGTTCGGACATGTAGAGAGAATGGAGCGAAACAGAATGACTTCAAGAGTGTATCAGTCTGTAGTGGAAGGAAGGCGGGGTAGGGGTCGGCCTAGGAAAGGTTGGAGGGAGGGGATAAAGGAGGTTTTGTGTGCGAGGGGCTTGGACTTCCAGCAGGCATGCGTGAGCGTGTTTGATAGGAATGAATGGAGACAAATGGTTTTTAATACTTGACGTGCTGTTGGAGTGTGAGCAAAGTAACATTTATGAAGGGGTTCAGGGAAACCGGCAGGCCGGACTTGAGTCCTGGAGATGGGAAGTACAGTGCCTGCACTCTGAAGGAGGGGTGTTAATGTTGCAGTTTAAAAACTGTAGTGTAAAGCACCCTTCTGGCAAGGCAGTGATGGAGTGAATGATGGTGAAAGTTTTTCTTTTTCGGGCCACCCTGCCTTGGTGGGAATCGGCCAGTGTGATAATAAAAAAAAATAATAATAAAATCTAGAATTCACTTATCTGTCATATGCAAATTTAGGAAATTTGCTTAGTATATCTGGTATCTTATTTTCATTAATAAGATATCTTGACATGTCACATAGGTTATTATACTGTCTGTCTCTGTATTCCTCAATAAGTGGACAATTAAACACACAATGTTCAAGACAGTGACCATATGCCTGATCACATAATTTGCATTTAGTTTGATATCTGTGTCTCCCAAACTGCCAGAAGTACTTGTAACCAAGCCTAAGCCTGGCCACTACAACATCAGTCGGTCTGTTCACACTGCATGTTGCTCCATAAGCATATCTACGTTCATGTTGCTGTATAGTCCTTGTGGCTTAGCGCTTCTTTTTGATTATAATAATAATAATAATACGTTCATGTTATCATAGTGGGTTATACATCTACTCAGGCTTCTAACTGCAATCCTATAACAATCATTTTCATTATTTACCTCTCTCTTAATATTATTCCTAATGCTAGACACAGATATACCAAAGTTATATTCTACAATTTCCTTCTGGGTACTCTTCTTGGATAACATATCAACTTTATCATGAAGCAGTAATCCAATGTTTGATGGGATCCATAGCAATTGTACATTAATTCCGTTGTCCCTGATTTTTTAGTATACCTTTCGATATTGTTCCACATCAGAGGCTACTGAGGAAATTTAAGGCACACGGAATAGGATGAAAATTTTTTTCCTGGGTAGAGGCATGGTTGACAAATAGGCAGCAGAAAGTTTGTATAAATGGGGAGAAATCAGAATGGGGGTACATCACAAGGGGTGTTCCACAGGGGTCAGTGTTGGGCCCCTTGTTCACAATTTACATAGATGAGGGAATAAATAGTGACATAAGCAAATTTGCTGATGACACCAAAATAGGTCATCCAATTCATTCTAATGAGGACATTACAGCACTCCAGGATGATTTGAATAGACTGATGCAATTTACCTGGAGTTTACCTGGAGAGAGTTCCGGGGGTCAACGCCCCTGCGGCCCGGTCTGTGACCAGGCCTCCTGGTGGATCAGAGCCTGATCAACCAGGCTGTTACTGCTGGCTGCACGCAAACCAACGTACGAGCCACAGCCCGGCTGGTCAGGTACCAACTTTAGGTGCTTGTCCAGTGCCAGCTTGAAGACTGCCAGGGGTCTATTGGTAATCCCCCTTATGTATGCTGGGAGGCAGTTGAACAGTCTTGGGCCCCTGACACTTAATGTATGGTCTCTTAATGTGCTAGTGACACCCCTGCTTTTCATTGGGGGGGATGTTGCATCGTCTGCCAAGTCTTTCGTAGTGAGTGATTTTCGTGTGCAAGTTCGGTGCTAGTCCCTCTAGGATTTTCCAGGTGTATATAATCATGTATCTCTCGCCTGCGTTCCAGGGAATA